GAGAGAGAGAGAGAGAGAGAGAGAGAGAGAGAGAGAGAGAGAGAGAGAGAGAGAGAGACAGGCGGGTGGATATGGCGGAGGGCGGGGAGGAGGTTGGGGTGGATGTAATGACGATTGAAGTGATGGACTGGCGATGGATGACTCTGCTTATTGGGGCAGCATGTACCCTGGGAGCGTGTCTTCTCTCCTTCAAACAGATACTCTCTCATCTGCTTCATTTCCGCAAACCCGCCGAGCAAATGATGATTATCATCATCATTTTGATGGTACCCCTTTTTGCTGTCGATTCTCTGATCGGACTTTGGGATATAACGGCCGCCGAGGTCGTTGTCATCGCACTGGACGCGGTCAAAGAGTGTTATGAGGCCTTGGTAAGTGGGGATTTTGTTTTTTTTCGTTTTTTTTGTTTTTTTGTTTTTTTTTTGTTTTTTTTTGTTTTTTTTTGTTTTTTTTGTTTGTTTGTGCGGGGTGGGGGGTGACGCGGGGGGGGTGTCGTTTTTTTTTCTCTTTTGTGGTTTTGTATTTCTATCTGACAGACAGAGACGTAAACGGAGTATAGGTGTGGCAATCGAAGGGAGGTCAAAACATTTAAAAATTAAGAAAGAGGTAGCATTTTTTTTTTTTTTTGAAAGCCCAGGTTGTCGGCTCTCTCTGGACTCGTTTCAGATGAGCAGTCCAATCAGCAATCTGAACGGATTCATGGCTGGGTATTCTGGACTCCATAGATGTCCAGATCGCGACCATGGATGTACGGACTGGGGACCTCATATCCCAACCCGCCATAGTAGGACCTACTATAGAGGACCTCGTAGTATGGGTCCTACTAAAGAGGACCTCATGGGGATTATAATAGGGCCCTTATATTATAGAGGAACTCATGGGGATTATATAGTAGGGTCCTATTATAGACGACCTCATATCCCAGCCATAGTAGGACCCTACTATAATCCCCATAGATCGATGGTCGCGATCTAATTAGTAATAGCTATTTCGTTGTTGACCCTACGTTCATACATTTTGAGATCCCATCGATAGATCCATATATGTAGTCTATACATCCCGTCCCCATCACTTCTTCCTCTTCCTACTCTTCGTGATGATGAGGATGATGAGGATGATGATGATGATGATGATGATGATGATCACTACCTGTGGCTGCTGCTGCTAATGATGATCCCAGCCATAGCTCTATATATGCAGTCTAGAAATCCTTCACCTTTTCTTCCTCTTCCTACCCGTTATGATGATTATGATGATCACTACCTCCTCCGCCTGATGATGATAATGATCACTACCATCTTCGCCTGATGATGATGATGATGATGATGATGATGATGATGGGATGATGATGATGGATGATGACGATGCTGATGACGATGCTGATGATTATGATCACTACCTTTTGCGCCTAATGATGATGATGATGATGATGATGATGATGATGATGATGATCACTAGCTTGTGGTGAAGATGATGATCATCACTAGCTTCTGATGATGATCGTGAGCACTCCACCGCCTAATGATATGATGGTGATGATGATGACCTCCTCGTGATGATGATGGTGATGATGGCGATGGTGAGTATCATGACTGATGATGGTGATGATGACGATGATGAGTATCACGACTTCCTGGTGGTGGTGATGATGACGATGATGATGATGATGATGATGATGATGATGATGATGAGTCGCAGGTGAAAGCCGAGGTTTTTCTTCTCAGAGCAAAGGGAGAAGAAAAAGAAGCCAACAAACAACAAAAAAAAACGCTGTGCATTCTGTGCATGCGGAAAAATGAAGAAGGGGGCAGCTTTCCGTTTCATTTTGACGGTGGGGTAAAAAAGGGGAGGGGGGTGAAAAAAAAAAAAAAGGCGGGGGTAAGGCGGTGAGTTCAGCCGTCGATCTTGTCTTGAATCGATGGAGGTTGGGAACTCTAGTCCTGTTCATCGTAGACTAGCAGGAACCCGGCCGCTTTTACGGCCAGGTTCATGCTTTCCAAGCACAAGTATACCTCTTCGATGGAGAATAATGCCCCATGCTCGTTGACTAATTTTTAGTAAGTGAAGCCGCAGGACGCCCTGTGATGATTAATAGAAGAGAGAAAGAAAAGGAAAAAAAAAAAAAGACAAGGAGCGGGGCTGGGGTCGAGTTGATTAGCCAAAATGAACGAACGACTGAACTTATTTTTGTTTGTAATTTAAAATTTATTTACTTATTTTAAGTTATTTCAAGTTATTTGTTTATTTAATATTTAGTAGGTTGTTTTTTTTCCCCGGGCGCCCATGAACCCAACTTGTGCCCGGATACACGCCCGGTGTGCCCGGCCGGGCATGACGCCCAGGCAGGGTTCCGGCAAGCCCCAGCGCAAAAAAAAAAAAAAAAAAAGTAAAAGAAGTGTAGAATTGAAATACAAACAACTTTTGGCTGAGGGTCACATCAGAATTCCTCACCGAATTGGAGATAAGAAAGAAAATAACAAAATCACACTGAAGGACCCCCCTTTAACCCCTCTTATATATATATATATTTGTACCCCCCTTTAACCCCTCTTATGAAACTCCGACGAAACAGTTTGTCACAGCCCCTCGTTTGTTGTCCTCTTCTCCCTCTCTGCCTACGGTTTACCGGGCAGTTCTATTTGACGATATATATATTTGTACCCCCCTTTCCCCCCTTGACAGCCAAGTCTCAAAATATGAAACGAGCCCGGATTTGGGGTCCTCTGGGAGAGCGCAGAAAGGCAAAAAAAAAAAAAGAAATTGCCCGGGTGCCTGGCCGTGCAGGCCTGGCCAGGCATGAAAAACTTCCTAGATATTTACTATATTACTATCATTATTGTTATCATAATTTCGTTATTATATTATCATTATGATTAGTATTTATTACTATATAATCTATATTTTTTGTCATCTTTATAGGCGGGAAGCAGGCCCGGCGTCCCTTACAACCAAAGGCCTTTCCTGTAAAAAAAACAAAAAAAAGGCCTTTCCTTTGGGCGAGGCATCACCGGCCAGGCCCAGAGGTCACTAATTATTTTCTCTTATACATGGTTAAGAATCACTAAATAATCTCGGCGACCAGCCGGCCCGCCCGGGTCACCTTGTTTTCCCGGGCGGACCGGCCGTGCAAGGACCAGGGAAGGTCTCAGCGGGAAAAAATCCAAAAAATTCCCCCCAAAACTATGTTATTATTGTTATGAAGAAAATAAACTGAACAACTTTTGCCTGAGGTTCACATCGAAATTCTTTACCAAAAAAAAAAAAAAACTAAAATTGAAAAAAAAATAAAAAAAAAATATATATATATATATATAGTCAAACCGAGCTGCCCGGTAAACCGTAGGCAGAGAGGGAGGGAGAAGAGGACAACAAACGAGGGGCTGTGGCAAACTGTTTCGTCGGAGTTTCACCGACTATATACGATATATATATTTAGTTTGTTTTTGACCCTGCCGGGCAAGTGGTCCCGGACCACTCTGGTAACCTAGTAAACAATTTAAATAAATAGTAATTAGAAAAAATCCATCCACCGTCCTTTATTTGGTCCAAGGCATGCTTCACGCTCAAAATGCCCTTAAAAAAAAAAAAAAAAAAACCTAAACGCACTTGCTCCATCTATTGGGGGGGGCGGCAGTCTGGTTGCTCCTTGCCGACATGCTTAAAATGGCCCTTTTTCTTATTTCTGTTCCTCCTTTTTTTCCCCCTTTTATCCCTCTCTTGTCTTGTTATCAGAAGTATAAAAAAGGAGCAGCAGAAAAAAGGACTTAAACCAGACAAGTTGCACACCCTTAATTGTGCACTTTTGATGTCAAAACAAACGGCTTTTTTTTTTCTTTTTTGAGGTGGGGGGAGGTGGAGATGGAGGGGGGGGAGGGGGGAGGCCCCACGTGGATTGGAAGTCTCTAAAAAGCAAGGCATATGCACCCATTTTATTTATTTTTATTTTCTTAACCTGTTGGGAGAGGGAGTAGTTTTGGGTGCGTGTTGTGAATCCACGTGTCAATCAGTCAATCAATGAATGAAACCTAGCTGAGCAGATATTAAACTTTTTTTTTTTTTTTTTTTTTTTTTTTTTTTTTTTTTTTTTTTTTTT